TTTGATCGGCAGTGGAGGCAGGAGGAGGATTGCTTGGTATCTTGGTGGAGGTGGCTATGATCAAGTTCTTAATTCAGATTTTCTTTGTCATCTCACGTTCCTCGGTCAACCGGACTAGAGATACATCCAGAAGTGTGGGATAGGGAGGTGGTGAAGGCACCCGAAGGAATCCGATAACCTTGTTCTTCCTGGGTGCTGAACACCGAAAGCTCGGTAAGTAGCTGAGGAGCTCGTGGCAATCTCGGTGCCGGTACCTTAGTGCGGCCATGATTGCCTCTTCGTTGGGATAAAGGTAGTTGGCCTGCAACTTTTCAATAGCTACAAAAAGAAGGTGATTAGCTCGGTACGATGAATATCGACAGTTAATTAATGAGGAAGCTAGGCTTACATGAAGAACCGAAATCTTTACTGATGTACCAGCCGGGCACTTTAGCTGTTTCATAATTACCGAACACCCAGAAAAAATCATCGTCGTGCATATCTTTGTCTAGTGTGCCAGTCACTATTTTTTCTCTGTCTGATCTTATTTTTAAATAATAGTTATAGCCATCTTTTGTGCAACCAAGCATGTATTGGTGTAAGATCTCGGCTAATCCTAAATTTAAACCTAGCCAGTGATTTAGCTCGGCAACACTGTTTATTATTCTGTACGTGTTTGTCGATACTTGTATGGGAGCTAGCCCAGTACGTCTCAAAAATTCACAGATCAACGGTTGCACGGGAAAACGCAGCCCTTCATCAACTATACTCAGCACTGTGAAGGGGCAAGATTCCAATATTTCCCATGGGTTGATGTCCTCTTCACTGAACTCTAAGTATACGTCGGCAGGTATGCCGTACTCCTCTCGAAACGCGGCCAAAGCAACTTACGTGTCTACAAGGTAGCGATACTGCCCCATAAGAGGTTGGTTTAACCAGATCGGCTGAATTGCATTGGCAAAGTTGTGCACTCTGGTTGCTCAGTCTTTGAGAGCCTTGGTGTTGATGTGCCTGGTCCTTTAGGATTCTGCAGTTAAAAAACCAAGTATAAGTGATAGCGCGGTCGCACTATAAGCTTGATTTCAGTTCGGTCACTTCTTATCTCGATCTGTATTGTTCGACATACCCTAGCCCGGTCATACGACCGTATACGCTTGATAACCCAATTTTCTACTCCGACTATGCAAACAACAGATTTACTCGGCCACCCTTATTTTCAGATCAAATGGGATTTTTTTAGCACGGCCAAGCCCAGAGCCTGTCATGTTCATTACAATGGATGATGAACAGTGTGAGGAACCAGAGGCATGGAAGCTTTTTGATGACAAAAGTAGTGCGCAACCCTAACCCTATGCAATTTTTGGTGGTTTTTGGGTGTTTATATCATCCTCAACGAATTAGCGTGGGAGTTAAAGTTCAAACAACACCAGAAAAGCATGAAGAAGAGAAGGACAAAAAAGAAGGAGAAAACTTATGGGTTGATGCGCGAATCGAAGCTTTGATCGGCAAAATGCTTCACAGTGGCAACGGCGGGACCAACTTTACCAGAAAAATGCTTGAGAATGGGCAGAAAATGCAGGGGGCAGGGCTTGGGTGTGTTTTCGCTCTAGATCGTCTATGGCAGATATGGTGAACAGTGGAGATAAAGGGTTGGTATGAGGACGATGTACATGGAATGAGAAGGGGCGCCAAAAATTTAAATCCAAAGAGATGGCGTGGGAGAGCTAGGTTAGCTGTACGAGGCCAATAGACAAAGGACACATGTGTGCGATGAGAGTAGTGTCAGTCTCGAAAAGAAAAGCTGAAAATTCGAAACGCTAACCGAGCAGGTGATAGGACCGAGCGTGAAAGTTAGCGCGGTTGAAGATAATGAACTGATTTGAGGTGGATGACCGAGCAGGGGAATGAGCTTGGCTGAAGAAGGTAATCCTGGTTACGCTAGCGCGGACGGAATTAAGGGGCAATTGAGAAGGAAATTTATGGCCCAATAACAGGCCGAACTAGTCTTGGTCCTTGTTCGGTCGGATGTTGGTTACACGCTGGATCAAGGGACTAGTCCGGTAAGGTTGAGACAACTTCAAGCTACTATCCCGGTGACGATATGCACTATACTGAGTCGGATGAACTTTATCCTTAGGCCAGGTCTATTGAGCAGAAGCTCAGTCGAGATTGGGTAGCTCGGCTAAGCCCACTTCCAGGATTGACCGAGGAGGCCCGACTGGTAGCGCGGTATTACAGTGAAGACGTGGCGCCATGTTGAACACAGCTCGATAGCCAATATTATGCAACGTGATGGGAGAGCGGAAAGAAGATTTTGCTGTCCGTATACGTCAATATCATTTGGCAATTTGGTCATTTGGTGTTTGGTAGTATTTGCGCCTACACGTGGAGGAACCTTATTGGGGGACATATCCACGCGTGAGAAGAAGAACAGACAAACAGGAGTGCGCAAAAACTATATAAATGGTGCTGCGTATCCATGCATAGGTTTGGAACATCTGATTTTCTGAGCTACCTACCCTTTTGTCTCTGTGTGTGTGTGTGTGTGTTAACTTGATCGTCGGAGGGTTTTTCCGGCAGCACACCGCCAGGTAGCTCACCGTCTTTCTATTTACAAGTTAAACGACATTACGTAGTGCTTGGACATGAGGAGTACAGAGAGCGACATATATTTCCTCCTCGTACAATAAGTAAGGTACATCTAAAAAAGTAAAAAAATTGCTTAAAATTTTAAAAAATATTCACTAAAAACAAAAAACAAGAAAAAATAAAAAAATCAGTTTTCAAAAAACTAAATTAAAAAAACTGAAACTAAATACACTAAACATGGTACTGACCTCTAAAAAAAAAGAATATGTATATATATATTATAACTAGAGAAGAAAAATATATAATTTCATACTTTATGAGTCATAATTAAAAATAAAAAAATGTCATAGCCAAACATAATATGAAATATAATTAAAAATTCATGAGTCATAATTAAAATAGTGTTATAATTAAAAAAATGACATAATTAAGAGTACATATGATACACCACTTCTAAAGGTGTGTATGTTAAAATTTTCCAAAGTTACAAATAAAATTATATGACATATTTTATCTTTTACAAAATTAATTAATCATATAAGATATGTTTGATGTAATTTTTTATAAATTAAAGGGGCATTTACATACAAGTCCCATTTTGTGAACTTATACTCCATTAAGTCCTAAATAAAATCATTTGCTCCTTCAAGTTCCATTAATTTTTAATACCCTAATTTATCATTCCAAGAGTGAATCGTGTTCGGTGAGATCGCCTGCGAGATCATCAAATCTGACTTCTTCACCACCTCCTTCTCACCATCTTTGTCGTGCTCGGCTTCAACAGCCGTTTGTGGCGGCGGCGGCGACGGAGGTGAAGAGACGGGAGGTGAACCGGCATTAGCGGCCCTCAACAACCACCTCCATCGGCGGAAGAGGTGGTAGCTGATAGTCGTGCCTACAGATATGGTGCCTACAGATACGGACTCTGGAAAATCCAAGCCTCCCGGCATTAGCGGCCCTTAACAACCACCTCTATTGGCGGAAGAGGTGGATTTGGTGGCGGATGAGGTGTTCATGGAGCCGAAAATCAAGTCAAAAACTTGCCACCGATGTCATACCTCGAATCCAAACCAGTACAACCAGGATAGCCTCTGCTGAGCTCTTGAAACCCCTTGATTATATCTTCACTCATAAGTATATTAGGGATGAGAATGTCATCATCATTCTCAGAATCCTCCTCCATTTCAGCGCATCCGTTGTTGTTGTTATTGTTTTGGGGGGCTGACTTTGAGTGTTGCCGTGAGGTACACCTTCACCTTCCATCAACGGGGTTAATGGAGAGAAACTTGAGGCAGCAGAGACTGGTGAGACGAGAGAACCAATTAGGAAATTGAGACAGATTGCAGAGAGAGAGAGAGAGAGAGTTTTTTAAAATTAAGAACCTTCTCAGGTTATAATATTCTTAATTTTAATCATGAAAAAATTGAGAAATGTCTCAAAATTGATAATTATAAATTTTTTAGAATATTCACAGAATTATATTTCTTTTCAATCCCATACTTTTTTTAAAAGCCAAACATAAATTTTTTAATTTTGATAATTATATACTGAAATCATTCTCTGTTTGAAAATTGAGAATATTCTCAATTTTGAAATTGAGAACATTCTCAGTTTTGGAATTAAAGGGCAAAACGTCTTTTTACCTATAAATGGGACTTATTGGTTCAAAATTTTTTTGACAGGCCCTAAGCTACTACCAAATCTGTAGACAAGACTTTTTGGTAATTAACTCTAAATTAAAAGATATATTTAAAAAAAAAAGTTAAAATAAACAAAAGTTATTAGTTGTACCACTTTATGACGTATCTTGAAAAGTAGATCAAAAGTTAATTTTTTAAATCATGTAAAAAAAATAATCAGCTTGTTTGGTTGTGTTTTTCTAAAAATATTTTTTAGAAAATTATACTGTATTGTTTTTCGTATTTTTTTGTTTTTATTGAATTTTTTTAATATTTTAAGCAATTTTTTTTTTACTTTATAGACATACCTAACATAAATATACCTAAAAAGTAAAAAAATTATGAAAAAAATCTTTTAAAAATTCACTAAATACCAAAAATATTAAAAAAATACGAGAATTCAGTACATTTTTTTATATTTTTATGTATTTATTAAATTTTAAAAATATTTTTTCACAATTTTTTTATTATTTAGATACATCTAAGTAAAGTGCATTTAAAAAGGTAAAAAAATGTTTAAAATTTTAAAAATATTCACTAAAAATAAAAAAATACAAAAATTAAATAATTGAATTTTTAAAAAATTTAATCCAAAAAACTTAAATTAAACATACGAATGTAATCTAAAAAATATTAAAAGGTTAATAAAATAACTTTTAATCTGATTATATAATCTCAATAAGGTAATATGGGGCCTAGTTAACACATTAAAAAAAAATATATTTACTTTAAATGGAGGTGGGGATAAGATGGGGAAGAAGGTGTGGTTAAATTGGTAACAGCTGGCCCGTCACGGCAACTCTCTGCCCAACACGTTACCAAAAAAGCGAATGGCTCACTTTTCTCTCTCCTCTCTCTCTCCTCCCCCACCTCCATCGTCCTCCTCCTCCTCTTCCTCATCTTCTCGGCAACTCCAAAGGCGAGTCTTTTTTCGCTCTTTCACCGTACAATCTTCGTCTTCGTCTTCGTCTTCGTCTTCGTCTTCGGTGTCTGGGCTGTCTTCGAAACCTAAGGTCGTTGTGACCAGAGAACGCGGCAAGAACGGCAAGCTCATCAATGCATTGGTAATCTCTCTTTTTCTCTCTCTAGTTTTCGTGGTCTGCGTTGTTTTTGATTCTTTAATTTTTGTCCGCAGTGTTGCATTCTGTTGGATATCTCATACTGTAGCTTGTCCTTTCTGTAAATTTCAATGTTCAAAGTCCTTTACTTTTTTTGGCTATGTGTATATCTATTGCAATTTTTTGGTTTATCTTTGTAGACAATTTTTTTCTTCTTCTTATTTTTCCTGTGTCTTTTAGGATGAGTGGCCAATTAAGTTTGTGGAATTACGTGTTTGATCAAATGCGAGAATGAACTTTGTTTTTTTCTTTCCCAAACAAACTATGAATCTTAAGCATTTTCAATGAAGTTGAGACTGAAAGATAGAAATGAACCGTAAGCTAAGTGGGCAACTGTTAGATTTCTTTGAGAAATAAATGCACAGAAGTGGTTGTTTCTGTATAGCTTTAAAATGATCTTTAGCACGATACAGTCATATTTTGGGAAACGATCACTATGTTGGATAAATTTCATAATCTTAGCCGTAACCAGAAGTTCTTCATGATTACCCCCACCCCTCTATCCTTTTTTTTTTTTCTTTTTAATTTGAAGCCAACAAATCACAGAAGATAAGAAGACAAACTTGCCTGCCCACTTTTTACGAGATACCAAGTTTTATTTATTTCTTGTGTCATGGAAGGAAAATTATTAGGTTGTCCAGACTACCATGTGCCATTAGCCTATGTGGTGTGCTGTCAACAAATTAAGAACCACAAAACATATTAGGTGGGTCATCATTTGTCTTTCAACTACCCAACAAACATGGGTAAGCATTATACCATCCATAAAATTTTCTGTTGCTTCATTGGCTGGAGTGCCACGTGGACAATACCACATGATTCTCTGAGACGAAATAATTGGCCGGCTGTAATTAGGCAGCCTAATGGAGCATTAGCATTTTTCCTTGTAGGAATATATAGGTCATTCCACAATGTATGTTCGTAATTCATTAGTCTTGGAGTTCATTCCAAAATGTTTGTTCATAATTCATTAGTGTAGGCCTTGTTTAAATTCCATTTTGATTTTCATTCCTTATATTTGGTTTCTAGTATTTTTTTTATGGTGTCGATAAACCCTTTAATTATTCTAGATTCATGTATACTTATTTCATTTTTGCATGAGCTAAATTATTGTTTTTGAGAACTGATATACGTGACCCATTTTTTGCACCTTTGATATCTCCATGCACATGGCAAGATAGTATTTGTTTTCATTATTTTCTTAATGACCAATCATGAGTATTCACATAGGCGGTGATACAAAACAGTATCAAAAAATTTGTGACACATAACATTTCTCATTATTTTGTAAGCAATTTTGATAACTTCTGTAGTAATTTTATTTTATTTTTAATTTTTTTTAACTGCCCCTTAGTTTCATCTTTATCCCAATTCGTCTTTTTTAATGGATTACAAATATGCATTACCCTTTAGTTTAGTCTTTATCCCCACTTTGACTTTTTTAATGGAGTACAAATATCTGTACACTAAGTCTCTGTCGTCATTATGAACAGCAGTTTAGTACATGCCTTGGTTCTAGTTACAAAATGCTATAATATGGTTAAATCCACTATTGGAACCTTCCATGTCATCTGACTGCTATCTGATAATGGGGCTAAACCGCATCATAGAAGGAAAACTTAAGTTGCGTTTGGTAGAATTTTGGAATTATGAATTGAGAATAGAGTTGTATTTTAAGTTTGTGAGTTTTGGAATTATGATTTGAGTGTAGAAAATTTGTTTGGTTGTGAGTTTTAAAAAGAATTTGAATTGAGTGATGTGACATATAATGTTGAAAAGTGAGTGTTTTGAAAAGTGGGCGTGGAATTAATTTTCTAAAACTATAACCAAACAGCACACTCAAACTAAGGGGTAGAATTAAACTTTAAAAACTCTACCAAACAGAGCCTTAATTTTTCGGCTGTTCTCTTTACAAAATAGTTAACCTTTTTTAGGTTTTGGGAAGGAATTAGAGGATGCAATGTTCTTTTCTATAGTCAACATAAACAATATGTAGGCAAATAGACAATGCTTGTGAGAACTGGCAAGCGAATTTGAAAGAAATAACTACTTATTTTCTTCCAACATACATCTCAGTAGGAAAATACTAAGCAGGAAAATACTAAAATAGGAGAGTTATACTGCATGGTAACTTCATGTGAATGGTATTAAAGATGGCCTTTTTATATTTGAATACAGGAAAAACATGGGATTAATTGCTTGGAGCTTCCCCTCATCGAGCACACACGGTTGCCTGATTTGGAACGACTTTCTTCTTTACTAAGTGGTAAGTTCATGAAGTCTTCGTAGTCTAGATTGGTAGGTAGTAACATATCATGTTTCAAGATCATGGTCAAGCCTTGTCAGGGATGATCCCGCATCTACACGATAGAATAGTTACCAATTTACATGGCTTTTCTCCATATATTTCTTTCATTTTCTTTTTATAAATCTAAATTAGTACCAAGTGCAAATATATTTGATCTACACTCTAGGTTCTTTGAGGTCATCATTTGAGACATCTTGTATCCTTTTCAGACATAGTCAAATCTCTGGTCCTAAATTTGCATGCAAATATATGTTCTACTGCAACATGTGAGTAGTAGGAATGCAGTTTAAGAGGGCCATTGACCTTACTAAAGCAAGGGTGATGCAACTTGCATGCTGATCTGATATTAAATCTTGCTTGAACTAATTGGGTTGTCATGCTTGTTAGATTTTCTAATATATTGCTGCATTGTAAACAAATATTGTCCGGTATTCTTTAATAAAAATGTTTTTTTGGGTCTTTTTCTTCTTGCTTGTGGCAGCAGACAATGCTTTTGACTGGATTGTGATAACTTCTCCTGAAGCGGGTCTGGTTTTTCTCGATGCTTGGAAGTAAGAATTAAATGCTATAGTACCCCTTTTGTAATGTTAAATTAGTCATTCAATTTTGGCAGATAGAATTTTATAATTTTGGTTTTTTTGGTGTATGCGCTTAATCATTTTCAATCACAATGGCAAATTGAATTAAATCTGGGATATAAATGATGTCTTGTATGTGAAATTTCTTTCTGATTGGTGTCGTTCTTCATCCTATCCTTGGGATGTAAAATGTTGATTGGTTGATTATATGGTTCCACAAGATGTTGATCTTTCTTGTTACTGTGCAACTTAGAGCTGGCCCTGCTGTTGTTTGGATTCATAATGTTATGTAAGTTTCTGAATAATTTTGTATATTCAATTGTGCATATTTACAAAGAGTTCAGCGGTTTCTATAGCCTAAACCTATGACTGAAAAAGGAAATACAAAGAAAAGGAAATTGCCTAATTCCTAATATACACAAGGAAGTAAAGGAAATTGTGTAATTCCTAATATACACAAGCATGCCCTATATACAATATATATTCTCATGCCCCTGCTCGAACTCAAGATGTTTTAGCAGAAAACACTGAGAGTTTGCTAAGAAGAAACTGAAACCGAGCGGTAGTGTGAGTCTTGGTGAAGATGTCCGCAAGTTGCAAAGCCAAGGAGACAAAAGAAAGCAAGATAGAGCCCGACTGCAGATGCTGTTGGACAAAGTGACAATCAATCTCAATGTGTTTCGTCCGTTCATGGAAGACAGTATTGTGGGCAATCTGAATAGCATTGCGGTTGTCACAATAGAGGGAGGTTGGAGAAGACTGAGATACACCCAAATCAGAGATAAGACAATGAAGCCAAACAAGCTCAGCAGTAGTATGAGCCATAGCACGGTACTCAGCTTCGGTAGTAGAGCGAGCAACAACAGTTTGTTTCTTGCTTTTTCAAGAGATCAAAGAATCGCCAAGAAACATACAGAAATCAGAGGTGGACTTGCGATCATTAACATCACCAGCCTAATCAGAATAGCATAGGCCACCAAGTTTAAAGAGGAAGTAGAGGACAACAGAAAGTTCTGAAAGATGGTACTCCACAGATAGCGAAGAATGCGAACGAAAGTAGCCCAATGGGTAGAGCGAGGAGCAGAAACAAACCGACTAACCATATGAACAACATAAGCAATATCAGGGCGAGTGACAGTCAAATAAACTAAACAACCCATCAGCTCGCGATAGACCGTGGGATCATCCAGAGAGACACCATCAGTAGAGTTGAGCTTCACATTAAGCTCAATAAGTGTATCAGAAACCTTAGTGTCAGTAAGATCGGCACGATGAATAACCTCATTAGTATACTTGGCCTGAGATAGAAAATAGCCCTTTGGAGGAGAGGCAACCTCAATACCAAGAAAATATCGCAATGGACCCAGATCTTTCATTTCGAAGGTGCGGAAGAGATGTTGCTTGACCTCAGAGATAACAGAAGAGTCAGAGCCAGTGATGATCATATCATCCACATAGAGTAGGAGAGCAACAAAACCAGCTGAGGTATATCTCAGAAACAAAGTAGAGTCGGAAGCAAAAGGATGAAACCCAAGCTCGGTAACGGTAGGTTGAAAGCGATCATACCAAGCATGAGGAGACTGCTTCAAACCATACAGAGCACGTCGAAGATGACAAACCTGCCTAGATGAGTGGAGAAGACCAGGGGGAGCACGCATGTAGACCTTCTCAGTGAGATGATCGTTAAAAAAAGCATTCTTAACGTCCATCTGATAGAGAGGCTAATGTCGAATAGCAGCAGCAGAAATTAAGGTATGGACAATAGTCATCTTGGCAATAGGGGCAAATGTCTCCTCATAGTCAATACTACTCTCTTGTGAGAAACTCTTGGCAACCAAGCGAGCTTTGTAGCGCTTGAGAGAACTATCATAATGAGTCTTGACTTTATAGATCCATTTGCAACCAACCAGATTCTTGCTAGCAGGCAAAGGAACCAACTCCCAAGTGTTCGTCTTTTGTAAGGTAAACAACTCATCCTACATAGCTTGAACCAAATTAATATCCTGACAGGCCTTCGTGTAAGAATGTGGTTCTGAAAAGAATTAATAACAAACAAAAAGGTACGATAGGAAGCAGAAAAACATGTATTAGACCAATCCAACCTGTTTGGAGGATGATGCTCATGAGTAGGATATCGGTGTACAGCAGGATCAGAGTCGTCAGAAGCAGAAGGAGCAGCAACAGGAGTAGAGACAACTGGTGGTGGAGGAGCCTGGCGATGAGAATAGACCAACAACGGAGGGGAAGAAGCTGAAGGAGAAGAAGCCATAGGTGACGTAGACGGAGAAGTAAGAATGGGCTCAAGAGGAACAGTGGAGATGTACTTATCAGACGGGACCTTAGAAGGAAAGCGGTCAATGTGAACCAAATCCTCTTTGGAAACTGGAGCAGTGAGAAATGAAAGTTGAAAGTAAGACGGACGTTCAAGAAAGGCAACATGACAGAAGACACAAAGGCGACGAGAGACAGAATCATAACAGTGGTAGCCTTTCTTAGTAAGACTGTAACCCAAAAAGACATAGAGGACAGACCGGGCCCTAAGTTTGGTCCTATCTTTGTGGGGAAGAAGGACAAAACAGGTAGACTCAAACACACGAAGAAGGGAGTAGTTAGGAATTTGGGAGAACAAAGCCTCATAAGGAGACTGACCAGAAAGAAGGGGAGTAGGCATGTGGTTGAGAAGAAAAGCAGCAGTAAGAACTACCTCTCCCCAGAATGGAGTTGGAACTAAGGCAGAGAGAAGAAGAGACTTAGCTGTCTCGAGGAGATGACGGTGTTTACGCTCGGCTTGATCATTTTGGGCAGATGTACAGGAAGTTTGGTGAATGGTACCCAAATTAGCCAAATACTCACATAACTCATTTTTAAAATATTCCTCACCCAAGTCAGACCGTAACACTTTAATTGTAGACCTAAATTGAGTAGTAATCATAGACTGAAAGGTACGGTATATCTGATAGAAATCGAACTTATGAATCATAAGATAAACCTAAGTGTAACGGGTGTAATCATCAACAAATAACACATAGTATGCAGAACGCCCCTGGTGAGAATAGGAGAAGGGCCCCAGATAATCAGTATGAACTAAAGAAAACGGTGTAGCAGATATAAAAGTACTGTTATGGAAAGGTAAGGCTGCCATTTTGGTAAGTTTACACCCCCAACACTCGGTAAGTTGACTAGGAGTACCTTTACTCAATATACCTGACTAAGCTAAAGACCGTAAGCAGTTAGCAGACAAATGCCCTAACCTGGAATGCCACAAATAGAAAGGACTTGACAGAGAATCTAACTGAAAAGAAAAAAAGGCAGTTAGAGAGGTAGTCATAGGCAGATGCAAGCTCTCTACTACATAGAGGTCTCCAACTCTGCGGCCAGTCCCAATCTGCTGCTTGGACATCCAATCCTGCACAGAACAAAAAGAAGAAGAAAAGATAACATCAAAATCAGAGGCATTAAGTTGACTAATAGATAATAAACTGACAGATAACTGATAAACATATAAGATAAATGGAATAGAGACTGCAGACATAGCAGATGATAGGACAGACCCAACAGATATAACTGACATACCAGACCCATTAGCAGCATTAACAGTATTAGCAAAGGGATGAGGAGTACAATTCTGAAGTAAAGAGAGATGATGAGTTATATGATGTGTTAGAATTTACCATAAACCTACCACCACTACCACCTCACCTACTCCACTAAACCTAACCCACTACACCACTACCACCTCCACTTCACCTACTCTCCACCTACTCCCAAACACACTCCTATATAATAGGAATCCTTGTAATTGTAATAACAACACAATATGTATCAGAGCAGGTTTAGAACCTAATATTTTCGCTTCCCCGGCGGGCGGCAACCTCACCTTAGCTGCCCGCCGGACCTCAACCTAGTCTGTTAAAATTTTCTACACATACCTTCCACAGTCGTACCTCTGCAAGAAGAGAAGCTTCGCTCCATCATTTCCTTCCACGAATCTTCTTCGTGACCTCAACCTAGCCTGCTAAAAATTTTCTACACATACCTTAAAATTTCCTTTCTTCAACCTGCTGTCTGTGTTTTGTGCACTCAGAGGTCAGTTTACCTTACCCCACCATATTCCACCCCCGGTCCAGCCTCTTCTCATTTGTCGGCGGCGCTCGTCAATCCATCCAGCAGGATTTCCGAGGCCTTTTACAGACCCAGTGCCGCTGCGCCTCCCCCGTTTGTCGCCACGTGGACTGCGTTCGGGAAAACTGTCTCGACTACACG